CGTGGCGTGCTAATGAGAACTAACTGCAATAGCAGACAGAATATTTGTCAACTTTGACGCCTCCTGGCGGAAAAACTGGTCATGGAATCGAATAAGGTACCATTGGAACCCTACTTAAAGATACCACCCCTATTAATTTTCGTAATAATCTTTCATATGGCCTACGAAACACTGCATTGCAGTGATTTTTCCCTTTTACCTTCTATATATGTGAGAATCGGCCTAAAATCGAAAAGATAATCACGTTACGCGACCTGAATTAATCTCCATATGCCAAAGCTTTCTTCTTTCTTCAAGTGTTGAAGTATAATAAAAAGACGAAATAACAACTAAAAGCTAAACTATTCTCATTAGCGTCTACTAAAACAGAAGAAATGATGAAATGTTTTAAGCCATTGGCAACAATAAGTAAATGTGTATAGCGCCATGGCGCATGCCAGATGTCAACAAAAATTGATCTCAACTTGATAATATTATGATTGTTATTCATGTTATTACAAAATCGAGCATCACTTATTATTTTGTAAACATAAACGCTGCTAACATGTAATCAAAGCTAGCATGAACAGTGAGGTAACTTACTGACTGCAGCATATCAAATTACAAGCCTTAATATCTACAGTTTGCCTCACAGGAGATCCTTTTTATCCTTGCTCTTACAATTGCAGGTAAGGGGAGTTTTTTACCCGTCAGTATCACATCAAAGGAAATGGTTTTTCTTCATTCTATGAAACATGATCGAAAAGAGAACAGATTTTAAAGTATGGTTGAATATATCAAATTGCAAGTCTTAATCTACAGCATGTCTCACATGATATCCTTTTTTATCCTTGCTCTTAATGTTGTAGGAATTGATTTAAAAAGAGAATAAATATCCAAGCGCTGTACAATAAAAAATTTAATCTCACAATCTCAAAAATTTTAATTAAGTATTCATTTATAAAATCTATATTTGCTCGCATGTATGAATTATGGAGTAGTTTTTTTTTGTACGTCTTTAACCACTGAACCAGTATAAATAATTAATTAAAAATAATCCCGTTTTATCTGTCTAATGTGATGTTAAACCTGTCACTGTGGTTCTGAAATGGTTTCATTTGGTTTATCAAAGCATCCATCGCTATGGTCCCCTTATGTTGCCTGGAGACACATGTTTAAAGTTTTAAGACCATTAAGACTTACAGTATTAAGACATCAAGCTTTGTTATCACTTTGCATATCTATTAAGTGGGTATATCTTGCAGTAGTTAAAGAATTTTTATGAACTAAAGACTGCTTTAATGTGAAATAAAATTGAATACTGACAGAGAAATTGAGGTGAACTTTGCTCTGGAAGATTGTTTTTCTTTTCGTTGTAGGCGTAGGTAAGAAACTTATTTTTAAATTAGAGGTTGGTTAGGAATTCCAGTAATGTAGCAATTTTAGCATAATGAATTAATTTAAATGCGGAACTATAAACAAGCAACATTTCGGAATTTCGTAAATGTTTATATCTTACTATGTATATACATGCATGTTTTGATGAAACAGAAGTGGAGTTTCCTTTGATGCTTGATTGCTTATAGGTAAACATAATGTTTTTACCTGATTCTGTCTGCCATCCAAATTTGACAAGCGTAATTTTGTACAAATGTTTTCTTGGTTTGTTGCTGTAGGTACCACTTATGTAAAATATTTAGCATCTTTATACATATGGCAAATGAAACTTGATGTACCTATATTGTTTGTACTTCATTATTGAACATATTTTTGTTGTATATATGAGTTTTGAGTTGTATTTAACTGCAGCATGCTCATACGTACGTTTCTGGGTGCACGCCTGGAAAGGCGCCATGTGGCTTTCAAGTATTCGATTTCTTGCCCATAAAAGGACTCTAGATTTCGTGATATTTTTTTCTAGACTTCATCGCATACCAACAGGGTCAACCATGTCGAAAAGTCATGCCAATCGTTTCGACTTTTCACAGCCTACTTTGTGAAGACGTAAAATTTACCCAATGAAAGATATTCTCAGTTGATAGCAGTTTTTAAATCGATTTCATTTTTTGGGGCTAAATTAGAAGAAGATATATTATACATAACATTAAAAAGAAAAAAAAATACAAAACAATCAAAGAACATAAATAATGATCCCCTAATTTTTCACCTTGGCACCAAATTAGCCCCTAATTTCTGCATTTTATAAATTCATTTTGGCTACTTTGTTCTATCATATAACTTTTCCTACTTTACTGTATGAATTATTATTCTCAGATGTCTCTTAATTATCTAATGAAGGTCGCCATTCCAAATTAAGAACAGAAGCAATTTAACAAAGACTCGGAATGATGATTAATTTGGATTTTTTTACCGATTTTGCTCTTAATGCGTTTTTATCAATCTTGCGTGCAAGCACTTGGATAATTGATTAATTGGCTAATCAAATTAAACGTAAGGGTAATAATAAATTTGCCTTCGTCGTTTTGTATTTACAGTACCTAGTAATGGGTTCTAAAATCGATTGTAGTTACTTATTATTAAATCATATTCCTTACCATAAAATTCAATTTAATCTTCAAATTAATGTGGATACAATCTATTTTATGCGAAAGAAATAAATTTCAAACAACTGCCTAGTACTTAAATGAAGATGGTTACTACTTACCTTATACTTTATGCATATATATTCGATTATTTATTATGGAAATGCGTCCATAATATTTTATAAGAGTGTTACTGACCATATGGCATATTAATGAACTATGTAAATGATTTTTGGATTCTTAAATAGTCGTTTATGAATAGCGTAACTACTAAGGTCTTTAATATTCCTTTAAATTAACTCCATTTTGTAATAGATCAAGTAATTTGTTACTAAGAGTTATTGGGACGAGTTTTTAAGAATTTCTAGTCAAAATAGAATTTTTATTATAATGGTGGCAATGAAAATGGAGAATTTAGAAGTATAGGCAAGAGTCAGGAAAAATAGCTATAAAACATAATTACACATACATATATATTAAAGCAATTTAGAGGACAGTGGCCACCACTTATTGAAAAAACTCCGACAAATTCATGTTTACTTCGTGTTTTTGTTTCGTGAACAATTAAAGTCAAATCGGCCTCTATAAATAAATAAATACAATGAAGTATGGAAATGGTAAATAGCCAGAGGGTACGTGTAAATCTACTCCATAAAATTAGTTAGGCATCTTACATTAAATAACTACCTAAATGATGAATGTGAGACGTACATAAATACCTGGAATGCATCGTTACTAATTTTGATTAATGATCGATCCTTTCTATAAACTATCTTAGTAATCTTTCAAAAATATTTAGAAAAACTCTTCTCTGTATTCTTTTTTCTCAATCTCAATTAATAAACAAAACCTATTACGATATTACAATAAGCCGATGGGTATTGGTTTAAGATCAGGCATGTGGCACATCATAAAAGTATCATTAAAAAGATTAATATCCAGTTTAAAATATGAACTAGCGTAAGAGAATGCCTTACAACAGCCCACGAAAGAATAGATGACCTGCCATAACTTTTTATAGTAATTAGAAACGGTTGAAGACCTCAAGTTGATAGAAAATGCCTAAATACGGAAAAACATTAAAAATTAATTATGCAAATTGCTGTCCGACTCTGTTGTGTGGTCGGTTTTTTTTTCAAAAGTTGCCCACCTTAAAAACAATACGAAAATCTCTAGTTTAGTTATAACATCTATGTAACTTGTGTATAACAATCCCGTATTTCATGTTTTAACTGTACCATAACCTTCAACTGTTTCCGTGTTGCTAATTATAATTACGTAATTGGATGTGTAGGTTTCATCTTTGCTTAGCCCACATAAGAAACAAGATCTGTCTTAAGAAGTTGAAATATGTTCTAAAAGTCTGACTCCAGCAAAAAATAATTAAATCTGAACAACTGGGCTGTTCTCGTCTATTATTTTGCACGGTAACAAAAGAATTAAGATGTACATTCTGTAGAAGAACAAGGTTCCAATGCCACTTCAGGCAATACGTAAATATCGAATTTAGAACTTGGATTTTCTATAAAAGACTTTTAATGGCAATAATGCTGGGATTCTGCCACAATTTAGGGTTTTCAATTTGAACTTGGCATAGTTTATTATTGTAGTTGAAGTTAGCAATCGATAACTTAGCCCAATATTTGGCATTGTTCTGTTTCTTAATAAATCCAGGTAGGTATATAGAAACATGTTTAGGATGGGTTTCTATTCGAACTTGGCATAATTTAGTTTGTGATGCAAACTGGCAAGTAGTAACTTATTACATTATATGGCAAATTTTCGTATCGAACTGAAATATTTGATAAGGAACTTGGACTTGAATTTGGCATAGTTGTAATTGTAGTTCACAGTGGCAGTAGGTAAGTTGGTTAATTGCTGTTCTCTGTTGTCAACAAACTTACGCAAGTATTCAAGTACCAAGTCTGGATTGGTTTACTTGAATTTGGCATAGTTTTTTTTTTGATCATGGTAAAAACCGAAAGGCGAAAACTTGGTCGCTGTTTTTTCTTGTTTTGTAAACTCAACACTTTCTTCGCTTTGTTTGCATCATTATCTGGTTCATGTACACAATTAGAGAAAGTTCAGTTGGTAATACGTTTGTTATTCGTAGTAAATCAGAGGTATGCGCAAATATAATGGTATTGCGAATGCACTTAGCCATTACTTATTTCGGTGCATAAAAAGCGATAAAGTATACATATGTACATGTAAATTGTACAAATGAGCTGTTTTTTATTTCAAAGACGGCAATCTTGCAGCTAAATCGATCTATTGGAAAACAATGAATAACTGAATATAAATTGGATAAAAATGTACTACAATTGGTACGTATTTAAATGATATTTTGGTAGACATACTACCTATAGAAAACAACTTTCGTTATATGCTCTATTAACTAGTAAGGATTATTAAAAATAATTAAATCAAATAAGATTTACAACGATTTATTATAACAGAAGGTGACATTATTTGAAATGTTCATGAAAAAAATGTATATTTTTGAAAATTGATTGAGAAGGTTCAATTTCACGCCAACTTGATGGACGTCTTTTTTTACTCCATTGTCAAAACAAATATTTGGTTATTTTTGTCTCCCTCGATGTTTTGAATGGCTGCAATTTGTAATGTATCCCAATGCATTTGTAATGCTTCTTTTTATCTTGTATTTATTTACAGCAACAGAAATTTATCTGTACTATATTTATTTCTAAACGTACAAGGCTGTTCGTAACCCAATCCCAATGGCATAATTTTCACTCAAAAAATAAAATAAAATGAGACAGAGAAACTGAAACGTTAGGGCTCTTTCACACTGTGCGATAACGACACGATTTCCTGCATGCAGCAAATCGCAACTACACAAAAGTATATCCAAAATAAATGTATTTAAAGCGAACGCTTTTACAGTTATCCGATATGGTATTAAAATATATCCTTGTCTGTTTTTGGCTCCATTAGATGCATACAACTAAACCAGACAACACTGCGAGGGTAGATAGGCTCGCATTTCAACTTGGAACGTTGTCGAAGCAATATTTAGTCGCTTAATATGAAAGCGGCGTTACGATACGATGCGACAAATCGCTTGCAGTTATCGCACAGTGTGAAAGTGGTCTTAAGATCATTTTTATATCTGGGCTTCTACTCAATCGCTTTTTTTAAACGTCGATAACGAACAATTAACACAGAAAGTTAATTTGTGTTATCCGCAAATGACCTAAGACAGCGTTGACAACATCGGCACTTCCCGTAGAACTTTTACCTTTTGTTACGCATTATCCTGGTGAAATAAACGATAGACGTGACAATCAAAAGTTCTAACACAAAAGGCGCTTTTTTCGCACGACTTGCTATCACTGCAATTTATTTTTACCGTTTGTCACTTTACTAGGTACACATCGGATACTTTCTTTAAATCATTAACGAACAATCTCTTAGCTAGTATAATGCATTGTTTGATATACCTACCTACAAAAGCTATTGTTATTTGTAGTGCATTTTCTTTTCTAATATTTCTACTTCGGTTTAAAGTCCAAGTAAAATGGAGGACCATTAAATGGCACCAACCGGAAAATTTGTGTGCCTGAAGCCATTACCAACAACGACGTTGCATGTTCTTTATATATTCTGTAAACTTAACTTAAAAAAAGTAAAGTTAGCAGCAACAGTAGTAATTAATTGTTATTATAATAATTACAACATTATCATAGGTATTTGGAGTTTGCGTTCTCTTAGCGCCAGTATCTCAAGAACTAGTTGAACTTGAAAGCCCACAAAGTGGCACTGTTTCTTTGATGGGATGAATATTATTATAATTAACTATAAATTTTATATCTTACCGTCCACATTACGTCTTATGTTCGCCGATTGTCAGTACATACTACCTACACTTTATTTGGTGCTGCGGTTGCTTGATAATTTCAAGGTGAAATATAGATACATAAACTGGCTTTGTAGGTACTAAACTATTTCTAAAAAAATTCCATCATACGAATATCCCAAATGATTGCGTGTGATAGAAAAAACGTTAAAAGTAAATGGACTATGCTTTTTGAAAGCAACATACAAATAGGTACCGAATTCTAATCTCAAAATGGTTTTACTTATACTACAAGAATACCTGTTCAAATAAATAGTTGTTCTAATTAGAAATAATTAAACGCGTTCATGTTACAACAGATGCATTTCTGAAATCATTACCTCCTTTTTGCTTTCTTTGTAAGTTTATGGCGTTACCTTGTAATGACTGTATGTATAAATTCATACATTGTGTGCTAACTTGGGAACCAGACTTGAGACATGAATGTTAGTAATAGACTCTGAATCTCATATGTTGGCGCCAATAGTTGCGTAGGTTTGAAACCATTTAAAGCACACACCGTTCGTTTACAGTTCGCAACATGACATTCTTATTTACTTTTAATTTATTAAAGACAAGCAGGAAGAGATCTAGCATAATAAAATACTGAAAAATTTTACGATTAGTGTCATAAAAAGTCTATTCTTTCGCGAACTGATTAGATATAGAAATCAATCAATTTCAAGTTGCTTAAAGCGAAAATTCTTAGTCTGAATGCATCTTTACATGTAAAACGCTTAATTTTTATTTTATATTTCTGAAATATTGAAAAGGTTTGCTTATTATCTATAATGAATCAATCGGTGTCTAAAATCAATGCCTAAAACATCTGTGGAAACCGCAGACAACTTAGACTAAAGCAGAGGGGTACTGCTTCTGCTGATTAATCAATTAATTAATTAAATAAATTGCTAATTGCACGGACAAACAATATCACATGTAAACTAACCTTTCTGAAGGCCACATAGTAAAATAATATGGTAACGTAACATATTTTAGAAAGTTTGTTTATTTCAAATTTAAGTTATATGTTTAAGTACAATATCCCAACGAATTTGATACTTACCTTTGTATCAAGTTTGCTTATTTTTGCACCTAAATAAGCTGCAAGGTCTACTGATAATAAATTTAATCCTTCACAGTGCAGTTTTTCACATTATTTTTTCATAATTTAATTAACTAACCACTGTTTCACAGTTTCAAAATTACCATCATAGTAGTAATTAATTAATATTTAATTGTGGCTTTACTATTTTAGTCATTTAGTGGTCACAAATATTTCATGTGGGTACAGAAGAAATGCTAAAGGAGGCTTTGTTGACATAATGACATACATGGTAAAGGAATTTCATTAATTTCTTTCTTCTTATTGTATGAATCGATGAAGGTTGAGTGTTCCACTTTTTGCCAGGAGAATCATGATTGCAATATTGTTACCGTCTATCCTTAAATATTTTATTGGTACGTCAATAGAACAGAACACTGTTAATGAATGTATGTCGCTCCTAAAATGTCATGTCGATTAATGTAGTAATGTGTGTGCAAAATAATTTGTACATGCATCAGCCAAGTTGATTGCTTTGGTGTTTTCAATCTTCAACTTATTTCATGCTCATTGCCTCCGGTAAGGTCGAATAAATTTTATTCTAGAGATTCAGTAGTGAACTAACGTACATAGGTATATTATTATTCTTTTTATATGGAACATTCGAAGGAAGGTAATGTTAAGATTATGTAGATGTTTGTATAAAGGGTGTCGACAGTTTTATTTATATTATCCAAATGTTTATTCAATTCTGATATGTTCTTTTGGTTTCAATTGATTTTGTTTCTTGTTTGAACCAATTAAATATTAAAATCTTTTTTGAAACCATTGTTATTGTACAGTATGAAGCATCACGCCATTTATTCTTTATAGATGTTGTAGGTATAAAATTATGCTATAAAACTTAATGATTCTCTTTACATTCTTTAATAATTCGATTTTACGAATGATTATTTACAGTATATTTGTTGTTTGTGTTACTTTTAACTCACTTGTTTCCGCAAAAGAACAGATGTTTACTTCATGTTATGAAAGTACAAACTATATATTTCTATCTTCAATTATACAAGTTACTGGTCTAAATCCATTAAATTAAGATGTGTTCAATTATTTATTCGTTTTGAAAATTGCGATACAATCAGAATATGCCATTACCACCAAAAGTCACACACCAATATTTATGTATACTTTCATATTTAACCGTAAGATGAAAAGGCAGTCATTTTCTATTGGCTAAATGAACCAACTTGTAATTCACGGCCGGTTATCTTTGCATATAAATCATGGAAACGTTTTATGATTTACGTTTGCTTCAGAAAACCTTTCAATAATAATAATTAGTTTTCGATATCTTAAAGGAAGTATCACTAGTAAAGTCTTCCATAAGGAGGAAGATGTATACTTACCAGTGTACCTGCTGTTGAATACAATCTTTACAACAATAATAATTCAATACCTACAAAAGAAAATTGGTGTGCAGTCAGTCGTGAAGAAGCTCATGGTCGAAGCGCTTCTTATGCAGCAGGAATTTGTGTCGCACACGGAACTTTCAAATTCCTCTTTAATGTGTCTAAATTCCACTTGTTACTGATTGCGCCGTGTGTCTATTCGATAATTACTAGAAGTCTAAACGTAGATAACAACAATGAATCATTTTTTTTACATGAAAATCGACAATCATTACCAAATGAAACTCTTATTTTTTTCCTGTCTTTTTGATGCAATTTTCGCAATCAAGATGTGACGTTTTCGCGCATGGCATTACGAATCAAATGACGGCGCTACAAGCCATTATTGATTGTTCGATTTCTCGATATTGTATGATAGTTAATCGATTAATTGAACTGAAAATGATTAATTAATTGAATAAAATAAAGGGGCAAAACGTTTGTCGTCGTGAGTTCGGAGGCATACGGGCGACATACACTGGAATCGTCTATTCTTTTAATAGCCATTGAGCTCATCCACACTAATTGATGATCCAATTAAGTATAAATGAAACCGCCTGTGTGTGCCTTATTCTCTTCATGCATATAGTACTTACATACAACATTTTACATACATACAACATGGCGCGTATGTGTGTGTGTGTGTGTATGTATGTGTGTGTAGAAAGAACAAACACAGCAAAACGGCTGACATGCTTTCAAAGCAAATCAGAGTGTTTCATGTAAGTTAAAGTGTTCTACGTTAGATATCTACACACATAAGACAATGTTTGCTCTCTGTAAACTAACTTCTCATCTGCCTAGAATAAATTACATAAATTAGATTCACTTGTAGGTACATGTTTGTTACAATTTTTATATGTATTTGTTTTTTCTAATACCAAAAAGCCTTTTTTTAGTTCCTAAATATGATTAGAATTTGAAATTGGGTAAACTGGTTCGTAAAAACCTCAGTATTAACAAGAATATAACAACAAATTTTGCATTTTATTCATGAACAATCAGCATCATATTGTTCAATTGTACGTGAGCGCATTCATCGCCCTGAATTTCCTCTGTTAACGCCGATCTTCGTATCTATACATGTGTTTTCCCCGAGATCCCTCTACAGTAACATTATTTTTCAAAATCGAAGTTTATTGTTACAGTTAATTATTACATTTGTATGCAAGGAAATACATTTTTGATAAGATCTTAAACAGATACAGAGGAATTTGTTTCCGTTACTAGAAATAAACTTTTGTCTATTCAAATGTTCTTGTCTTCGCTTCAAGGGATATTCTATACTAATCATAAATTTTAATGAAACAAAACAATAGCTTATGTATTATTGTGTTCTTTTGTCAAAGATTTCGAAAGACGCTGTAGTTGCCTATTTTGAAAATTATGTTTCAAATAACTTTACAAAAAAACAAAGTTCGATATCTAAACATATTCAATAAAAACGCGTGTACCTTTTAAATGATGGTTTTTTCAATACGAATCTCCAAAATGAACCGTTTTTGTATGTAGCACCGCTACAAACTTATTGTTTTGTGATATCCACAGCACTTGTTTACGAAATTTATAGTCAGAACGAAAAGAACAAAAGGCGTGACATTAATAATAAATCAATAGCCTTACTGCCTCACGATACGACATGAATGGGTGTTGAGCACATACTTTAAAGGAACACTGAACTGTTACATAAGTCCTTTATAAAGCATGAGTTTTAATAAAAAATTACAATTCGGCGCGTATTGAATGATAATGGAACGAATGAATGGTTTATTTTTGAGTCTACATAATACCTATACAACGATAAACAGTTACGCAGTTTGTAACGATTGAAAAAATCAGGAAATTCCTTAAAAAACACAAATATACTGAATAAATTCATTAATAGTCTATTTCCAAATTTACATTTCAAGTAGTTTTAAGTAAAAATATAAATTGGGTGGATATTATGTGGTGGAATAAGAAGTTCCACAGAATTCCCAATGACGGAAATGCTACTTAGGATAACGATAGCAGTTTGCTGTAGAAGATAAAAGAATCAGGCTTTTACATCCGATGTGAAATTGGAAAATTTACGTTATTTATTCAGTTCACATTTTCTGTTGAATGGCAAATTGCAAGCTAAGACGTTTTACGCTACAAGAATCGAAATAAATAGCTTTTCGTTTTCACAAATGTATAGATTGTATAGATTTCAACATACCTATACTTTGTGATGAAAACTTATGCTGTTACAGTTTTGTTTTTTTGGATCAAAGATCTTTAAAATTTTGACAAAGTGTTTTTAAATAGAACTTTCATTTAATCCAAGTTTGACTTAATACATTCGAAACAGTATTACAATATTACCTATGTGGTAAATATTAATTGGTTCTTCTGATTTTTGGATGGTTAGTGTCATCGGTCATTAACATTTTCATGTTTTCGTGACTCATTCTCATTTACACAGTATTCTTGTTGCTTTGAATACTATTTTAAACAACAGACAATAATTAGGCTCATTCTACACTTCAATCTTAAAAATACACAGTTGTTTTGCATCTACTTAAACGGAGCCGGTTGGAAACATATATATATTGTATGTCAGATTTTTTAATAAACTTTGGCAGTAACTTGGAACAGCCCAACGGTTCAAGTTCGTTTTGGTAACGCCGAAAATCTGTTTTTACAAAGTGTAATAAATAAATAAGATGCAGTAATAGGTACTACTCATTTTGTTGACGCCAAATGTTGCTCTATGAATAAATTCAGGTACAAAATGATAAGATGCATTTTCCTTTTCAGTTTTTCGATATTTTAACAGTTTTCAAAAATATTTAATACTAGCTGACCCGGCAGACTTCGTACTGCCTCAATCGATAAATAAAAGACCTAAACTTTTGTATAAAATAAACTTGGTTATCAAATGTCCGTAGGAGTGGCGGAAAAGAAAAGGTTAGAAGCGTTCGAAATGTGGTGTTATAGGCGGATGATGAGGATATCGTGGGTAGAAAAGGTTAGAAATGAAGAGGTATTGGAAAGAATAGGGGAACAGAGGACTCTGTGGAAGACAATAAAAAATAGGCGAGATAGCTTGGTAGGACACCTTCTCAGGCATGAAATTCTAGTCAGAGATATATTAGAGGCAGAAACAGGAGTTAGAAGGGGTAGAGGTAGACCTAGATTAGATTACTGTTCGCAAATAGTTAAGGATATGGATTGTTCTAGTCTTAGGGAAATGCGAAGTTTAGCTCAGGATAGGAAAGAGTGGAGGTACGTGTCCAACCAGTCTTAGGACTGATGACCTTATGATGATGATGATCAAATGTCAAATATCATGGTTGCGTTCAGAAATTTAATTTGTGACAGAACTTAAGATTTATCAATCTACATAAAAATAATCTGAAAGATAGTTAACAACTTTCATATTTATTCACCTTTTAAACCTTCTCTATACTTCCACAAATAATTCAAGACAAAAATTAGCCAAATTGGTCCATCCGTTTTCGAGTTTTAGCGAGACTAACGAACAGCAATTCATTTTTATATATATAGATAGATTACTAGAACTCATGCTGTCTATTCAACGTTATCATCATCAAGAAAGACAATAACTTGAAGTGTTGATTTTTTAAATCGTATGATAACGTTTAGAACAAATTTTTGGTGATTTTTGTCTTTCCGGGACTTTTTTCTTGGAGGCTTTCTTCCCTGGATCCCTTATCTATATCGCTTATGTTACATACTAACGCATAAATGTGTTTTATGGGTTTTTAACGACTACAAGTCCAATTGGGTAGTAAATATTGAGGAAGCTAGCTTTTGTGTCTATGTAAAAATGGTCGTTGGATATCGGAGAAGCGATAGATAAAGATTTTATTGTCTTTTGCATGTTACAAAGCACTTCACTCGCGTGGGCACCTATTAAAATTCTACGACCGGTCAGCGAAAAGAAAAAATGAAACTCGCTTTTCTCCTTATTAATTTATACGGTAATAAATTTCGAAACAAACACTTCTATGCAATCCAAAAGTGCAAAGTGGTTGTATAAGTATAGGAATTCTGCAACTGATAACACAGGTTGCATTTTAATTAACATAAACTGATTTAATTAAGACATCAACAACTTAAATCTGGCCGGATCCTAAAGTAATGCCGGATCCGTTGGACGTCGAATCCAAACCGGGGACCCTGTCTATCTCTAATACAAATGTCGTAATATTGAAGTCTTGAACCACGCCATGCCGCAATTAAGACATTGACAACTTAAATGGCTATACAATACTTAGGCGGATCCTAAAAAAGTGCCGGATCTGCCGGGTACCGGATCCAAACCTGATACCCGATTCATCTCTTATAAAAATGTCCTAATATTTAAGTCTTGGGTCACACCGGGCCGTATGATAAGAACAGAAATCTTAATAATCAAAATTAATCAAGAGTTAGCCATAAATCAATATTAGTGAATTTTGACACCCCTTAGCGGAAAAACCAACCATGTAGTCGAAAAATATACCATAGTAACACTACTCACTGGAATCCCCAGTCGAATAATCCCTAACAGGGCATCTCGAAGAAAAAATTTGCATCAAAATGATTTTTCTTCTTTTGTTTTCGTTTTTTGTGAAATCACATGTTTGATTGTTTCTAAATAATTTTTTATCGTTGTTACAGGTAAAGCAATGAATGACTTGGGCGTGGGCGGTGGAGGAAAAATTCTTGCCCATAGCCCAGGGTCGGACTGCAACAGCAATCATCATCTTTCCTCCAACAGTTGCTTCAGCTCTACATCAACCCAAGATATAGACTTCATTCAAGACAATTCAGATTACCAATGGTTTTTAGATTACAAGTAAGACTTTTCTCCAGATATTATGTCGATCTGTCCATCTATTTGTCACACCCTCGTGTGAAAGTTTTGGCTTTAAGTGTGTCCAAATTGTGTTTTTTGTGACAACATGACCAACAACAACAACAACATAATCAAGTCTTTTATTGTTAGCAAATGTTCTACATAGTTCGTTCTTGTAAAATTAATTTCAGTCGTGTCTTGCTATAAAAATCGTGTGTTACATTCGCATACATTTGTATGTTGCATCATTAAATGAGTAGGTCCCTTGACCTAAGTATGTAAAGAGTTTTGTTTTCGTTTGCTTGCAACAATTGTTTTTTCTGCTTTCATTTTGAAGAACATTTCATCTGAACATCTAAGAAAAGCAAAGTTTAAACTGTTTCTACTCTATAAAAGTTCTACAGATATGCTAAAGTAAGCACTATCTCTAAATAATTGTACACTGTGTTTATTCTTCTTGTATGAAATAATTGGAATTTTACTTACAATGAAGACATTTCCTTTTTGCTTGTTCTTGGAGACAATAGCATTTTTCAAAAGTCTACAATGGATATACATGAAGCCATTGTTTACTGATGAGAATGTAATTCTCAAGGCGAACTTTGATTAAAAACAGGACACAAGAATCCGACATACAATTAATATCTAGCATAGATTCATACAAATAATCTAATAGAACAATGCAGTAATAATTCATTATGCTTTTTATGATCAATTCGAAACCTAATACGATATAGTTCCGTTTTTGAAAGCGATACAATTAAAAAGAATGCCCAGTTTTAAATGTTTAAATAATTACCTTCCATAGATCAAATAGTAGAATGATACATGTGAATTATTAAATAAAATGCACCCCAATTTCCGATAATTAAAAATTAAAAAAAAAATTAAATTATTTTTATTTTGAACGTAATTTTTTTAATGCCAAGTCCTTTTTAGTTACAGAGATGGCAGTACAAACCACCATACGAGTATTCTATCTCTGTCGGAAGCGTATGGAGGAAATGGGGTGGTGCAAGGGGGCGACATTCGTTATTACGACGCTTTGGCAAAAAACATGGACGCCAACTTGGCGGAAGCGGACATGGAGAGCTTCCGAACGGAAGATATACATGCCCTTCTAACTAATTTACCGACCATGTGCACAGATCCCTTATCTCAAGAGGTAAACTACAAGTATATGATCAACGATGATAAAGCACACTAACTTTAAAACTAGGACAAATTTTGTTTCTACGATACATTTATTCAGTGTCCACCGAAAGCTCAGTGTTTGGATGATTTAAAACCATTCTTTTGTCCTTAACTATAAATGAACGAACGAAAACGAATTAAGATCTCATCACCCAATTTATAACGTTATAAAGAATTAAAATGTTCATATTATAATTCAATTATAATAAACTTAAAGTAAACTAATGTTAAAATAGAGCTTTGTAATAACTTTGGATTTGGCAAGAAAATTAGTAGTAACCTTTCATTAGAAGTTTTCATTGTATATGATTGGTGCAGACTAGTACACTCAACATATAATTTGCCAATTAAGTTTTAATCTTAATTTGAACTTGGCATAAGTAGTTTATGATTGTGAAGGAAACTGATAAGCAACAGCATTCTTAATTGCTTCTTCAGGGAATTGAAGTATAACGTGCCAAGTTTCAGTTTCAATTTGAACTTGGCACAGTGTACGACAGATTGGCTCACTGGCAAGTGATAACATGACTAATCGTTTCTTTAGGAAACTAATGTATTTAACTTATCTTCTAATTGGTCATATTTTAGCCAATTTGAACATGGCACAGTTTACGATAGTTAGGCACTCTGGCAAGCGATGACATGCGTAATTGTTTCTTTAAGGAACTGAAGTATTAAACTTAACTTGTAACTTGTCATGCTCAATTTTGATTAGAACTTGGCATAGGTTTAACTAATTTTTCAGTGTTTAAAAAGAAATGAGAGGATGTAGTCTTAGCCAGAATAGAGATCAACCCTTTCACAGTGTCTTACATTTATTATAACATTCCATCAACTGCCCACTTTTCTTTAGTGTCCCAGGCAATACATTCTATACGGATCTTCCCCTTTTTCTCAGACGATCAGCCGTCATGGAGAGTCCTTTGCCTCGGTATCGGGTTCGATGTTGGCTAAATTTGACTTTGAAAGTTCTCTATCTCCACACTCGAATTCCCAGTGCGATGGTGGCGACTCGGCCAATTCAATGTCGATCTGTAAATCTGAGCTGCTTTTTAGCCCTATAAAAGAATCACCGCCTTTCACTGCAGGCGTCGGGATTGGCGGCTTCGGGGGCAATTACAGCGTCGATTCTCTGGATTGTGGCGACTTTATGAGCGAGCAAGATATCCTTTTGACCTGTCAGGCAAACAAAGACAACTACACGATTGCTTTTGAGGGCTCCATCACCATGTACTCAGAAGATAGCGATTTTCACGAAAGTGGTAAGTGATACAAATTTGTAAAGCAAAGAATACCGCAAAAGAAATTAAACGTTAAAAGTAATTAAAACTTTCCGTTTTATTCAAATTTCTTTACTACTAGTTTGATTGCAATTTTTTTCGTCGTTTCTATATTCATATTAATGCTCAAAACCACAAAAGGAAGTAGATTGGTCTAACGGTGTAGTTCATTCTTCTATGTAAAAAAGAATCCGTTGTGATGAGGACCATTACCTACGTGAACGCTTCCATAAACTTTTTTGCTGGATGAAACAGTTACAATAAACATTACATTATTATAATGTGGTTAAAATACGGTAACATAGACTCAGAATGAACAAAACAATTGCAAACACGATCTAAAAACAATAGAACAATATGCTAATAAATAAATATTTTTTAAGGGAATTGTTTTTGTTGACCGATATCATTATATTTACAAATAATAAAAGTATAATAATTAACAGTTACCTTTTAGTTTTTGTCTGAAGAAAGTGGGTGAAACAGAGGGTTTAAAAATATTTTATTTGTTGAAATAGAAAAGACAATATTTTTGTTGCTTCTATCAATAACATTTGGGTAAAACTGTATTGTTTAACTTCTTGTTGTTCTTTTCAATATATAATTATGTAAATGTTTGATGTATTAATTGTTTAGAAATAACACTAATATTTGCGGATTTCGTTATTACATTGTTTACGGAAAGTTTTGAATTCTAATTTAAAATTGTCAAAACTCCTTTTTACGAATTTTTAAAAATTTGAATATAAAACTAATAATAAAAAACAAGGCAAGTATTTATTAGACCTAGCCCAATTAAAAATTTCCTTTAGTTTATTTTTTTTACGTTCGTACAGGTAATTAAATGGTAATTTTTTAATGTTAATAATTCAAATCAGTTTTCATAGTGTTGAAAATATATTCTCTGGTAAATTTTGATAAACCTACTTACAGTGGATGTGGTGTGTCATTAGTTGATCCGTTATCTCAACAAACAAATTTATTGTTGTTAAACGTTTGACCCTATAATCAGTATGTTTCGAGCAAGCAAGACATCGAATACTATTATAAATTCCATCAGAGTTCTTCTCTTTAGTTTTGTGATTTTCGTTTAAGTGTCAATAGATACGTTCTAAAGTTATAAAGAAAGACTAATTATCTATATCAGAAGTGCACATTTTGCAAATGATAAGAAGAAGTGTTTTTGTGACAGAATGTGTCTTGAAAAAAGTGAGGATTCTTTTTTATTTAAATCAAGTTTCAAAGTCCAAGTTCATATGATATTAATAGCTAGTTACAACAACTATTAATACAATTAATCCATAAGTATCTGAAATATTTTGACTTTAAAAAAATCTAGAACTAGTTCAAAAAATTGCTAACAAAATTAATTATATATTAACAAAGAAACAATTATTTGTTCTATACATAATGCATATTCATGGTACCTACATGTATGTAAACTAGTATACGATATTTTGTTTGCTGCCTTATATCACCGTTTACATATATCGTATTATAAAAGTAAATTTATCCAATGCTTTCTCTTGTCGTTCAACCCTGTTATAGTAGCTATCTAATCAAAATTCCATAGAAACTAATTAGGCCTTTATGTTTTCCAAATAATAACAACAATAAATTGATTTTATATTGTTTAGTTCTTGTGTTTTTAAGTTACAAAAGCATATTTTGTATATTAGAAGTTTTCATTGTATATGATTGGTGCAGANTAAGGAATTGACAAAAGTCCAGTTCCTTTCTAATAATAATAATAATAATATTGTTGATTAATGAGGAAAAGCAATGCTCAATAATATTTTTGCGAAAAGTGACTGAAAATTTTGCGCTTGGGTTCAGTTTTTACCATTACACGCTGTTAGTAATAATAAAGGAGCCTTTAGCATTGTTGCCTTTCCGATTCGATCTTCTTTTTGAACGAAAATTCTGGTAGCTTTAAATTTTTACGTTCCAATTATACAGATAAAAAGAATAATAAGCACAATATAAGATTTTAAATAAAATATAAATGTTTCTCGTTAGAAAAAAGTAATTCAGCTTCGGGGGTCAGTAGTTCTCGTTGCTCTGGAGAGTTGAAGATGCATGTAAAAAATCCGAAAGTTACCAACATCTCGATGGCTCAGTCTGATTCGGGCGGTTTTACCACTTGGAGCAACTTAAAGAAACGGAACAGCGAAAACCAGTTGAAGAGACGTCCATCGGGTAACAACAATTCCGAAGAAGATACCAACAACGATTACAATCACACGGACAACGTCCTCAAGAGTCAAAGTATGCCCGATCTATGTAAACAGAAACGGTATGCCACAAACGATGCCAAAAACCAAAATTTCATAATTACCCACCAAATGGATTCGATTATATCGTCAGAAAAGAAACCAGTCAAGGTTTTCGACATTCAGCATCAAATAAGGAGTTGTAGCGGAAGTGGAGGTAGCATCTTATCGGACATGGCAACGTCTACTGATGGTACAGTCAGTTCCACAGAACAGGCATCGAAACATCAAAAACCGAACTTAAACTTGGTGAAACTCTTCATGAAACAAAAGAGTGTCAGTGCTGAAGGAATGTCATTAGGAATGGATCAATCGAGAACAACTAACAACAGCGAAACGCATTCAGCAAACAGCAGTCAGTTTTTGGATTCAAAACAGGAAAGTCAAACAGAACCAGACAGGAACGAATGCTTTGAAGACAGCCTTCTGGTTTGTCAAAAACCGATAGAAACATCTCACAGAACGCACGAGCTCATTGTTGAAGAAGACGAAGAGGTTTCGCGAAGCGAATCCATCGAACAGCTCACCGAAAGCTTTTCAAAACTTGACTTGACCGACAATAGTTACCGCGACCCTAGTCCAATTGTTACCACTAGTAATAATAACAATAATCCGTCTGTAGCCACCAAAAATGTTACCAGTTCACCTATTAAGAAGATTGCTGAAACAAGGATTCGAAGAACATCCACAGAGGTCCCTGCACATCTGATCAACAGAAGTATTCAAACATCTTGTTATGTGGACACCAATTTGAAGAATGCGCCTTACAAACTTAACTGCAATAGCGCCAAAGAATTTGTTAAAGTTGTTGAACCTTCGTTTCTTACAAAATTAAAAAAAGATTCTGAAGTCAAAAAACCAGTATACGTTTTATACCCAAATTATGTGCTGCCCGATTTAAATTTTCTTCACGGCAAAGAGGATATCGCCAAAGTGTTACTAATGCCACACAAAAATCCTAAAGAATTGAGACATATTGACAGGAAACGACCTGTAAGTTTCAACGATGTAGAAGCTCTTCGGGAAAAAGGTTTCTCACATGTCAAGGATTGGGATTCATTAAACTTCCTGCTTCCAACAGAGTACAGGAAAATATTGGCTGATGTACCAGAGGTGGCAACCAAACTGAAGAATAAAGATGACATTCTCCTGGGAAGTTTGAAACCATCTTTCTGTCAATCGCCGCCAGTAAGCAGGAAATCGAGACCTGCAAGTTGCGATTGTGCCAAATTAATGAACAGAACCAACAGTCTCGAAAGAGTATCTTCATCGTCCAGCGTTACAACACAACCCAGTTCTGGATATAGAGGCTCTTCAACCATTCTCACAGATTCCCAGAGTAGTCCCGCCAATCCCAACAACTTAAACCCACTATTTGTTTATCGCTACGATAGTGTAACGAGTTCAGAAGCAAGTCTAATGGTTAGTGAAAGAAATCGATCGATTACCACTATAGCTCCACCATATCCAAAAAGATCGTTAAGTTTGGAAAACAAAGCGGAAATAGTACCACCTCGACCTCCTCTACCCAAAAGCATATTAAGAAGGAGCCTCGAAACCGTGAAATCTCGGAAATTGGGCGACCAAAACAAACGATTCAGCATGTTCGAAGCGATGGAAGAAGAGATCGACTATGAACAAAACCAGAACAAACGTTATTCGATGCAGGAACAATTCACATTTAACAGGAATAAACGGATAAGTGAGACGGAAGACGAAGGTGTAGATGCAGGGACATCGAGTAGCAGTTTGGACGAACCGCAGTGTAAATTGGTGTCTTCTCCTAGATTTAAAACGGAATTACCTTTACATAAAGTGAATTACGAAGAACTGGCGCAATTGGAAGAATATCTCAAAATGAGCGGGTTTTCGTCATCAGATCCAGATGATTTAGACGAAGAAGGAATGATGCAATTGAGATCGTACGTTGCCAAGTTTCTGGCGTTGAAAATCAACCAAAGTTCCAGCGAGAATTCCGAAGGGAAGAAGATTGTTAGTTTTGCCGAAAGGATTAATGTTAATGTAGAAACAAAACCGCCAAACAATTCTCCAAACGTCTCGGCTCTATTGTCACAAAAACATCATCATTACCATGGGAAGACTAACGCTGACGACTCCGTTGGTAAAAAATCTTACGATCTAAGTCAGAAGCGTTCGCTGGTCGCTGCAGTCACGGATGCTGTTGAAAAGATGGTCACACACTTCTCTCCGGCTTCCAATCAAGAAGAACTTAACGCGTTAGGTGACTCTTCGGTGAATCCCGCTTGTGCAAAGCTTGCTCTTTCGACCCTCTGTCCTGCCTTATACGCAATTCTCAGCGACGGATTAAAACCCTCATTGGACACTACGTTTGGACCCATTAACAATTCTGTGTGGCAAGTTGTCGAGGTTTCGTCTCACCAAGGTCCTCTTACCAAAGCCCTCAACGAATTGGTTATGAGAATAAACACCGAAGATACAATTACCGAGGGTCTAGTAAAATTCAACGCCTTTATCTTTGGATTGCTCAATGTCCGATCTCTGGATGCCTGGTTTAGTTACTTAAGGACGAGAGAGAGCGTTCTAAAAAAGCATTACGAGCAGGATTCATTATTAGTCCTTGCTCACACTGGCAGTGTCAGCGTTAGAGGACTTATGGACACACTTATTACGACTTTGGAGCCTTTAGCATTGTTGCCTTTCCGATTCGATCTTCTTTTTGAACATCGTCAACTGCACGAAAGTCTGAAAAGGATGGACTCATACCAGCAACCTTTGAGCCCATCTCACCCCAAAGTAAGTACTTCGTTCAGTCGTTATCTGTATTAATATTAATTAAAATATTTCCTGCCCTTTCCAGTCTCCTGGTTTTAAAACATCTAAACAGTGGACCTTCTCTAAGTTGTCAAGTCATTCGAACTCTGACACCGATGAGGTTTCAGCAGCCACGGTCCAATATTTCTCTCCAAAACACGCTCCTCAATCTCCTATAAACGCAAGACCCAAAACGTATCCTGAGAGGCCGAGATCTTGCACCGATTCCAACTTCTCCAAACCGACTTTTAAATTGGGCGATGATGTTACAAAGAAGAGATGGTCCGGAATTTCTCCGACGTCAAAGTTATTTCAAGCCTATGATAGACTGGCAAAGGAAGACGATGAAGATTACACCGATAGTTTAGAAACGTGTCCACAAAAGAAAAAGTCCGAACGAGAGGGTAACCAGGAAGACGAATGCAGTTCCAATGAAGAAGTTGTTCAACTTCCAGAAGAAGGTACAAAATCTTCACTAGATTCTAAATTTGTTACTAGTATGTTGTTCATTGTAGGTCCTGATTCCTTGGATTCAAATCTATCCGATTCAAAGCCGATTAATGGCAGGAGATTTAAAAAATTACAAATGAAATGGGAAATGCTAAGTGGGAAAGAATCAACAAGTTCCGGGGGAAGTCCTCCGCAATCTCCGACCCACGGGAATAAGTCAAAGATTCCTAGACCGGTTACGTCTCCCAACAGACCTTCAGGCATTCCTGTTGCTGTGAATAATATTAACAAGACTACTGGCAAAAAGGCTGTGACACCCCCTGGAACTTCAACAACCAAAGCCATTGGACAAACAAGGACTCCTGGTGGCAGTAATGTAGCAAAGAGTAACGCTGGACTCAAGAAAAACTCGCCTGCTACTAGGTAGGTTCTAGACAACCAAACAAAATGCTGTTTTTATTGAGAAAAAAAAAAAATAAAAATTGTTTCAGGACAAGTAGATTGGATCGCCTTGAAAATTATGAAGAATCTCCACGACCCATGACCAGGCCCAGCAGTCTTCCGTACAAACCTGGTAATAATCGTTCCAACAAATCTTTACCACCCCGAAGAGCGGTGTCCAGTTCTGTTGGTAGAAAAACAACCAGCCCAAAAGTGCAAATACCAAAGTAAGTACTGTCTCTAATTAAAAACTTTATTATTTTGTTTTTTTTTTATTTCATTTCATTATATATTCTTTTCATTACTTATTTCAGAATTTTATTGTTAATTGTGTTTTATTTTTGGCAAGTTAATTTTTGTTATTTTATTTATTATAGAAAGTTGTCGACATCAAAATATAAGAAAGTTAGGAAAACATGGAATGGTTTTCAGAATGTGCATGTTGAAAAGAGGTATGCATGTAATTTGCAACAAAAAAGCAAAATATACGTACATACGTTAAAAACTAACATGCACTTATTATAGTACTACCTTATTGTCTTTTATTTTGCACTCAACTAAAATTAACATACTTTTTTGGTGATGGTACTAATTATCTTATAAATTAAAGTAAAATATCAACAATACTAATACTAGTAATTAAATCTACAATCTCCTTGGTATACCTTCCACTATTTATTTTGAATATTTAAGTTAGGTCCAAGATATAATTTTAAGATGACCTTTTAATTGGTTTATGTAAAATTAAGATTATCTGTTTCTTTTTAGTGTTAAGCAGCGTTAAATTCTTTAAATTTTGATAAAAACCGCGTTTAAATCGGTTAAGAAACAACCGAGTTATGTATTATTTAGTATTTCCCTGATTTAATCCTTCAATAAGTGGCGCCTGCCTTTGTTTACATCTCCATTCTTCTAAGGACAGGTGTCCTGAACTTGACCCAGTTTTATCGATGCAAAAACATGGCCGCCGTGTAACAGCCAATCAGATGCATCGATACTGTTTATAACTACTAAAATTGCATACTTCAGTTAGTCACCCTCGATGCTTGGTAGGATGCTCTTCGTCGCGCTAGAATTTATGCTTTAATTTCGTAAAAACTCATAATTGTTTTTTGTTAATTAAAATTACTCTGTTTTATTAATAATAATGTTTTACACTTCGTTTAAAATTTATTTTAAACATATTTTGCAGATACGTTAAGGCGTTATCTCATCGATTGCCTTCTGAAAGCGGTCACTTGAGTTACAACACTGGCGATCAACTAAAAGTAATTTTAGAAGTTGATCAGAAATGGTTGTTGTGCTGCAAAGGCAGTCAAAAAGGTCTGGTACCTAAAACTGACGTTATTGCTGACAATGAACGTTTCTGAGGGTACCTTAAATCAAACCAGTTTCCACCTTAAAAGAAATAAAATGAAAGGGACTCGTAAAGGGGTGGAACTGCGTTTGGTATTATTGTATTGTAATGTAAAAAGGGTTATTTATTCTATTTTCAGTGGTGTAAATCTGATGTTTGTTGTTTTTTCTTTTGAGTTTCTATACCACTACATTTACATGGTGCTTTAGTTTTTGAGCGAATGAGAACGTGTAATAGAATTTTGAAAGGAAAAGGCTCCACTTTGTACTGTCACACTTAAGGAATTGACAAAAGTCCAGTTCCTTTCTAATAATAATAATAATAATATTGTTGATTAATGAGGAAAAGCAATGCTCAATAATATTTTTGCGAAAAGTGACTGAAAATTTTGCGCTTGGGTTCAGTTTTTACCATTACACGCTGTTAGTAATAATAAATAATATCATTACGTGTACCATTAACTTATTATTGTATTTGACAGTATTTATTTATAAGGGTCTGTACAGTCTGTAGCAAAAAAAATCATCAGAAGTCAAGATGGGTTTTTAGTTTAATACTGCATGGCCTTTTTCTGCTTTTTATTTTATTTGTTTGACCTTTGGAAATTGTTTGGTAGTTGGGTTCTTTTCTTAATTCTTCAAAATTTTTCGTAATGTATAATATTTTTTTGTTATTTGGGTACTTGTCACATTAACATTCCATTATTCATACTTATAGTGTTTATCCTTACGGGGGCTCTCAGTTTTAGCCCTTCTGTTAGATTAAAAAGGGTTAAAAGTGTTCTTTTGTTGACTAATGTATATTCCTTCTCCTTTTACCTCCCATCCTTGCATGCTAACGGTGTATAGGAGCACTGCTTAAGCCTTTTTTGTACTATTCAGTAGGGTAAAACTTTGTGAACGCCACCCCCAACATTCCATCTAGAGATACCCGAATATCATCAATTATTATATCCATCCCAGTAAATCGAAAGAGGAATTGTGCCTGTCGTTACTAACATTTTCCTCCTCCTTCTTACACTTTCCTTGCATGCTAACGGTTTTAGTGGCACGGTTATTCCTTCTATTCGGCGGGATTTTCTTGGTAATCGCTTTATGAAAATAAAATTAGGTAATTTAGAATGTAGAGAAACCACTTCGTGTATAAATTCTATTGGATTTAACGTAGAAGTGGTTGTAATATTGCGCACCCTTTTGTTTTCGGTTTAAGATTAAGTGCGAACCAAACTTCCAAAATATTTAAAAAGGAAAATCAGTTTGCTTTGCGCTTTTTTTTTAATTTTCTTATTCCAAATGCACCCCAGTCAAAGTGGACCGAGTATTCATGATAATACTCGATGTAGCCACTTCGACTTCAATAATTGATTCGGTCGTCCCTTAAAGACAACTTTTTTAAGGGTCTTAAGGGGCGGCCAAAATATCATCTTTCCTTTTATTAATATTATTTGCATCGACTGCATATTAGTGGTTTTGTTCTTTATTTATTTCTAGGTAATTGTCCACTTATCATTTATTTAGTTATGCACTTGTTTTTAAAATAATTTTCTGTTGGTTTGTTTCTTTTGGTATTTTATTTCTCTCTGATATATAAACATATATGCTGACTTCTGATGGTATTTTTTGCAAAATAGAAAAGAAAAACAATAATCAAAAATAAATTAGTATCTTATATTTAATCTGCTTATAATCTCGATATACATAATGTGTTATCTATCTCCCTGTCCCAATGCTATGTGTAGTTATTCTGATAATGCTTTAATTTGCGCATATTTAAGTATATCCCCTAATCTACTATTAAAATCATCTAAGCAAGTACTTAAAGCAGTTCACTGAATGAGAATAGAGGCCTTTTTTAACGAAGATGATTGAAACAAAATTAAATAATATTGTACTTTCGAAATTAATAATAACACGTCGACGTGGCGCTTTTTTTGCATGGAAGTATTAATTATCACTTTTGTATTAATTAGCTTTTACTGTCTTAGATATATTTATTATTATAATAAGGATAAATAGTGTCTAATTGAATAAATGTAGTTGTTTAAAGAACGAGTCCACACAGTTTGCTTTTGTGATTTGTAAATACTGAAACCAAAGAGAGACTCGAAACGATCGACATGTCGCGAAAAATATTTTGATATTAAGTTTTAATTTTTGTTTGCATTTCGGGATCAAACTGAAAAGTATTAACGAAAGTTAGTAGTGCCATACACATGTACGAGGAGAAGAAATAGAATGTGAATTTTTGAGTTTGAACTTCATTTAGTTTATTAAACAAAAATTTTTATTTAATGTATTAGAAAATTTGCTGTTAATGTACAGATATTCACTCAATAAAATATTTTACTTCAAACTGATACTGTTGTGAATACCTTTTTAATGTAACTTTTAAACATCAATTGTAAACCAATAACAAATTACGCAATTAAGTGTATTTAATTTGGGTAAAATGAAGTAAACTACATAAAAATAAGTAGAATCTATTAAATTAATACAAAAACTACCAAATTAATTTACTAAAATTGAAAGTTAACGTATCTGAATATAAGTTAAAACAGTTTTACAATAGTTAAATATGTTTAGCACTTATCACACGATATAGATAATTAGAATGTTTAAGTATCGAATTCCACTCGAAGATATTAATATTTAATGCTTGGAGTGTTATTATGGGTCTGCAGAACCATTCCAAAAGTTGCGTTAAATCGTATTTACCGCCTAGAAGTTTTGGTGTATAATGGGCCATCTAAGTTACTGTTGGTATAAAAATGGTTGGCAGTATGTTTTACTAGATGACTAACCTAGTGCTATTTTTGTTTATGAAATCGGGAGAAAAGGAACGTCATGCAAATAACAGATTTACTGTGTGAATTGCAAATAAATAGCTGATTTCTGGACAAATTTGTTGTTAAATTTCAGTGCAAATAAAGTAAATAGAACAATTGTTACGATTTTATTGTTCTAGAAAATTTGTTTTCGTGTAGAAGTTTAATCGTAAATAATGTCAACTCCAGCTCGTCGTCGTTTAATGAGAGACTTCAAAAGGTACGTAATTCGTTGTATTGATAAATGCAGATAAACAAATTAGTTTTAAGATTAAAATGTTACCTACACAATATGTTCAAAATCGCTTATTTAAAGTAATGTATCCACGTCCTTCAAATTATTATTAAACATTCATTTTATTATAAATGTAGGTTACAAGAAGATCCACCAACTGGTGTCAGTGGAGCACCCACTGACAACAACATTATGATATGGAATGCAGTGATATTTGGTCCACATGACACCCCCTTTGAAGATGGTACTTTCAAACTGACCATCGAGTTTACTGAAGAATACCCAAATAAACCACCTACAGTTAGATTTGTTAGTCACATGTTCCATCCCAATGTATACGCCGATGGTGGTATTTGCTTAGATATCTTACAAAATCGATGGAGTCCTACGTATGATGTTTCTGCTATATTAACATCTATACAAGTAAGTGGGTCATTGACTCAACCTTTACCTTTTAAAAAGTCCCGATAACCTTTAATAACATTATCATGTCTGTTATCTATCTTGTTTTGTCTTAGATTATTGTTTTTAATTATAATTGCATGTGTCTATGACACTATCATATCTTAATACTGCTAATTTGAAACCCAGAAGCTGTGTAGCAAAGAAAAGATAATGATTTGTGTAAATTGAAAACGAATGTTAAAGATTGTAAGAATTGTACAGCCTTATTCTTATCAAAATTTAAATAGTCTATTAAATACATTGTTTAAATTGTACAGGTAATAAAAAATATCAGGGCATTAAGTATTTGAAGTTGTCTCCATTCTCATTTAATTGAATAAAAAAGCAAAAGTTGTTAGAATAGTGTAGTAAAAACTTTAAGAACTGCTGCTTATGTACTAATTTAATGGCTTTGTGGTACTGATAATGTCTGTAATTCATTTATTAAGGTCGATTCAATGTTCCCCTTGATAGTTAATTTGCATAATTCGATGTATAGCCTTTCCCCACCCCAAGATACATGTAAATCAACTATGACGTTATTTGTTATTGTAATAATGTTTTATTGAAAATTTTCTAATAATAAATCAGATTTTATTACAGTTTGATAAGAAATCATTAAAACGGTAACAAACCCAATGCAGTTCTGCTTGATTTTTATAAAATAGAAAAGCCACTTTTCATTAAACTGAATGAAAGCAAATTAGGCATTTATTATCAATTAAAACTACCGGAGATGCAGTAATTCCAGGAATTAGACACTGTCATCTTGATAAATAAATGTATAATTTAATTTTATTTAGTCTTAAAAGTGAACACATTTGATAAAGATCAGTAATACAATACAATACAATATTTTAATTTTTTGGGGTTTAAAATATGACTACACTGCAACTTTAATGTAAAACAGTTAAAAGTTTGTTGTGACTGTATTTTCTTTAGTTTGAATGATTTCAAAATTGATTTTTGATTTTTTTTTTCAGTCTCTACTTAGTGATCCAAATCCTAACTCTCCAGCAAATTCAATGGCTGCACAATTATACAAGGAAAACCGAAGGGAATATGAAAAACGAGTGAAAGCTTGTGTTGAACAGAGCTTCATAGATTAGCCAATTTAGCTACATTTAAATATATACATAAATATATATATATTTCTTTACACTACTGCTGTTGATAAGTAAACATGTAAATTTGCAAAATTGTATTGTTTCAGTATGTAATGTAAAATATTCTTTTTGCGATTTTATAATCATATTCCCTTTCTCCCCAGGACTAATATCAATAACCTATTACATCTTCAAGCCTTTGTCTTTCTCTTTTTTATGTAACCTAGGGGTGTTTTCTCCCCGAATTAACGTAAATTAGATTATTGTTTAGTTTTGAAAGAAAGCTGGTATAGTTATTTTAGTTATTATGGTCTTTTTCACTTGCGTACTTTAGGATTTACAATATTATCTACAACTGCCGTCTTTCTTGTACTTTCTCTGTTGGTGTAAAAACAGAAATAGTTATAAACCTGTGCTATATTATAAGTATGTCAAATAAATTATTAATTTATGTGTGTATTTTACTAGAAACAAGTCTTTATTTTTAAGAAAAGCCATTGCCAGATATTTTTTTCTGAAAAAGTACCTACATAATCTACTTTTACATACAAAATGTGATTTTAAGGCTGATATTCAAACGTTTTTAATGAAAACTATTAAGCAAACCTTTACGAGGTTTATCCAGAAAAAGTTTTTAGTGTTCAAAAATTTGTCTTCATACGTTAATCATTTTCTTAAGACTTATTGGAGTCTTTAGGTACATTGCAGAACATTTCAAGTCTTAAAATACAGTAAATGATAATTTAAAGAAGTTTTTTATTCATGTTTATTTGAACTACATTTCTTGAAATTTATCTCGCATCTATAGGAAGTACTTAAAAAACATTTAATTGGCATATTTTAATTGAAAATATGTACTATTACTGAGCTGAAATAAGTTTCCTAAATAAAAATAAGTAAAAATAGACAATGTTGTATTATTTGTATGATTGTAGGCATAACATAGTCCAAAAATAATTGATTTGACAATTCTACCTTTTTATACATTGTTTTATTTTAACGTGGGCCTTAGTATTCAAAGTAATTAAAACATATCTGCATTTTGAAATAAATTCCCGTCATTTCATATTTCCCCGCCATGAAAATAAGTAATTGGGAATTTTGATTTTCCATGGGAACTAGAAATGATGGTAGCACTGATAAAAAAGTCTGTTTTTGTTCCATAACTTGTGCTTGGTTGGTTGCTGTCTCAACTTGACCTTAATTTTTCTGTGCAAATGAGCTGTTTGTAATAACTGATTATAGTGTTATTAAAGGCTGTTTGTAATTAACTAAATTGTTAAAGTGGAGATACTGTCGTTTCACCGGGGTAGTGTTAAAGTTTCTTTCATGATTTTAAAAGCAAAATCGTAGGTCGACGACACATCGCCCGACCAATAGTTTGAAGATCGATGTTCGGGTTGTCATATTCCAGCCAGTTAATTCAGGGTTCTGCGCTAAAAACTTGGAGTTGTGTTTCTCATTTTGCAAACTTAATTTGGTGTAAATTCCACCACTTGGGATTACCTGCAGTAAGTGGTAATTTTTTAATAAGAAAATTATTATTCATTTAGAGCTTCAATACGAAAATATCTCAAGTTAGTAACGATTGCGAAATACATACACGCGCGTCATTCAGCTGCTGTAAAACAAAATGGCGAGTGAAATCTGATGAAAAGTGATAAATTGATAAAATATAAATTAACAAACATATGGGATTAGTTTAATATTGAGGACGAGTGACAAATTTAATGTGTTTGCCAAAATTACAAAGTAGAGTTAGAGTTGGTCAACTTAATTGAATAGTAGGTTTGGATAACTTTTGTTTACTAAACGTTTGTTTTGTCAAAATTATTGAAAGCATTTGGTTTTATCAAAAAAAACATTAGAAACTAAATTATTGTGGTCGTGATCTTTACTATTTTTTATTTGCGAAATGTTTTACTTTTTGGAAGATGCTTAATGAAGTGTTTCTGAAGGCGCTAAAAATTTTTTGTAGGAGATAAATTTAAATTTAGAAGAGTAATATATACAGTTAAAATTCTTCAGGATGGCTTTGATTACGCCAAATCCTGTTAATGTCCATTCGAAATCTAAAATACCACGAAAGGTACTTCAATATGAACTTGTGTATTAGGGAGATTTAACCTCAATTTCTGGTTGCCTTGATGCTAGAAAAATCCATTAATTTACATAGAAAGTAATGAAAATAATTTTTTTAGATGCCTCGCTCGAGAAGAAGACACCATTCACACTCTCGGTCTAGATCTAGATCACATTCTTATGATCGTGAACGTGAACCAAAAAGGAGGAAACTTGATGGCTATGAGTCTCCAAGGCATAGAAGGTCATTAAGGTATGAATCCTTTAAAAGTTAATTTAACTTTTCAAGGTAAATAATACGTACAGATTTATTTGGATAAATTTGTGGTTTGCGCTGGGTTTAAAATGATTGATAGAATTTGTATATGCTCTAAACTTAATACTTCTTAAAAGTGTTGGGACATTTTACAAGAAGTACACTTATTAACATTACACTGTTATTGATTGGCAATAATAAGAACTTTGCTGTTTTATTGTGGTTTATGTTTAATAACCACTTCAATATGAGCTTACAAAATGAATTATATACATGTTCAAAAGGTTCTACCAATAGTAAGATCAATTATTTTGAATATTAAATTGCAATCTTTCACAGAAGATAATCTTGTGATTTGTTTTAAACTTTCTAGTAAATATTTTGTATAAGGTAATCATTTAACTTTAAACAAACTATTTACACTGAAGTAATTGTTCTTTTTAATTGCTGGTACAGTGTGTTAAATAGTTTGCTACCATGCTCTTTTGATTAGAATTAGTATATGGTTAATTTTTTTAATTAATTGATTGTTTTTTATGGTTTTCAATTCAATCAGTTTCTTCTTATGAAGAGCTGAGATTTGTACACAATAGAAACAAACGGTGCTGTTACTTTTACTTTGTTTTCGTCTATTTTGTCCTTCAGGGTCTATTTATATACAGTCATCAAGGAAATGTTACATACAAGTGAAGTCTTCCTACTCGTTCGGCGTTTGTTTTATTTATGAATTTTCTAAAGAATAGTTTTCTAAATGTGTTGTAGGTAGTAATGAGCCTTCATTTGCGATTCGCTTTTCTTCGAAATATCGTAATAAATTAATTACCATGGAATTGCTGCAATAATAATGATTTATTATTTCTCTTGTTTGTTGAATAGTCGTAATATTTTTTTATATCATAAATAGGTTTACATGGTGACCCAATTCTGGTGTTTGTAAATATAAATAATGTAAATATATTAAAAATAACGGCTTGCATGTTTGTTTTAGAGAATTGATTAAGAATTAATTGAATTTGGTAGCAGACACAAACATGCTTTTTACATATTTTATCTTCATGGCGATTCATCCTCATTAAATTGTTTAAATACATTCATGAGGAAATTGTATACTAATTAAGAAAGCTTTTATCCTGTACTTATGTGTAATTATAATCTTGTTTTATAGTTATACAAAGTCAGATGACGACCAAGTCTGTAATGATTTTCTGCTTGTTACAAAGGTTTAATAGAGATGGCGCTCTTGGTTCTTTTTGTATCGTTTTGACTTAAAAGCGATAGGTGGCAATAATAGTACTATTGGACTGATAAATTTGTCGGGCTTATAAAAGTTTTAAAATAAAATGCTAGAGAAACTGTTAGCACCATTACTTTGAGTGGTGGAAATTCACTTTTGTGAACAATATGTTTAATCACTTTTTGTGTGTTAAAAATTGTTTGAAAAACGTTCTAATTGTTTATATTTATGCGCTTTAAAGCATTGACATCAATGACAGCGATAGTTAGGGAGCAAGAGTTGGATTTTAGCGCTGTGCTGAAAGCACTCAGAATTTTTTTTTATATAAGTACATAATTAAAAAAGAAGTTAGCTCTATGTTTACTCGTATTGTCAATAGTCGGCCATTTTTATTGCTCCACTGTGACGTAGTGTCGGCCATCATTTTTTTCTAATTGTTGCTGCTGTCGGCCATCATTTTTCTAATTGTTGCTGCTGTCGGCCATCATTCTTTTCTAATTGTTGCTGTTGTCGGCCATCATTTTTTCTAATTGTTGCTGTTGTCGGCCATCATTCTTTTCTAATTGTTGCTGTTGTCGGCCATCATTCTTTTCTAATTGTTGCTACTGTCGGCCATTAAGGTTTTTTCATAGATAAATAGTAATTAATGATTAAAATCTAAAAGAATTTCTTGCAAATAGGCATGCAACACATCGTACACTTCAGCGTAAGAAATTGCTGATACTAAAAATAAAAAAAATAATTTTTATATATAATAA